ATTGCACCAGGGTGGCTGCGCTGCTGGTGTTTGTGGCATCGTAGCACCACGCTGCACTGTGAACACGTTGGCTCTGCTACCTCTGGTGCTGTGGCACCACTGAGACAGCAAACCCAGATGTTAAACCCATGCCCATCACCAGTGGTATCAGGCACCTCAGTAGGGCTACTTCCTTCCAGCTTAGGGAAGGACTCCTCTTCCTCTCTCTTTACTGTACCCCTGACATCCACTTTCTTACAAGGCCACATCTGCAGTTCCTGGCTGTTTCTGGAAGCAAGGATGAGATCCAGTTCAAGATTAGGATACGTAAGATGTGGGCTGGGTTTCTAAACTCCTATTGTAGTCAACGGAGATGGAGTCAACGGTGACTGGAGAGTGATGCAAATGTACCACAAAGCAAATGAAACCATACTGTGAAGGCAGGGGGCTGAGCATGGAGCAGGATGCAAGCCAGTAGCCTCACCATGGGAATCTGGTGCTATTCAGCACAGTCCATGGTGTCCTGCTTGGCCTCCATCTGCCACTCCAGAAGGAAGGTCTCTGAAGTACGTTACACTTGCCAAATCCATGTGGTTGTCCCCGACACCCCAGCGTGGCACTAAATGTGTATGTTTAGCCAACTGAATGGCACATCCTGGTGAAGTGACTGCCTGCATCAACCAAGGCTGTGTTGAGGTGTCAACACATAGAGCCCAGTGCCACTGGGGAAGCTGTCATAGAATCATAGAATATCTCAAGTTGGAAGTGTCCCAAAAGGATCTTCGAGGCCAACTCCCTGCTCCTCACAGGACTTCCTTAAACTAAACGATATGACTAAGAGCATTGTCCAGATGTTCCTTGAACTCTGTCAGGCTTGATGCTGTGACCACTTCCCTGGGGAGCCTCTTGCAGTGACTGACCACCCTCTCCATGAAGAACCTTTTCTTAATGTCCAATCTGAACTTCCCCTGGTATAGCTTCATTTAATTTCATCATGTCCTATTGCTGGTCACTAAAGAAAGATCAACACCTTCCTCTCCACCACCACCCTTGAGGAAGTTGTAGACTGTGATGAGGTCACCTCTCAGCCTTCTCCAAGCTGAACAAGCCAAGAGACCTCAGCTGCTACTCCTAAGTCTTGCCCTGGAGATCTTTCACCATCTTGATCACCTTTCTCTGGACACATTCTTAATAGTTTGCTATCCTTCTTATATCGAGGCTCCCAAAACTGCACACAGTGCTTGAGGTGGGGCCGCACCAGTATGGTGTAGAGTGGGACAATCACTTCCCTTGACCGGCTAGCAATGCTCTGCTTGATGCAGCCCAGGACACGGTTGGTCCTTTTGTCTGCCAGGATATATTGTTGATTCATGTTCAACTTGCCATCAACCTAAAACCCCAGATCTCTTTCTGCAGCACTGCTTTCCAGCCTCTTGTCCTTCAATTAGCATGTATAACCAGGGTTACACCATCCCAGGTGGAGAATGTGGCACTTGCTCTTGTTAAATTCCATATGGTTGGTGATTGCCCAGCTCTCTAGTCTATCCAGATCTCTCTGTAAGGCCTCTATACCCTCAAGGGAGTCCACAGCTCCTCCTAGTTTAGTATTATCAGCAAACTTAATGTATATTCGATTCCTGCACCCTGTTGAGCGCACAGGACCCCTGTCCCTGGTTGACAGGTACGCCATGGAGTTATGAGGGGCTGGACCATCCTGCAGCCACAGCTTGAGACCAGGCAGGACACCACAGGTGACTAAAACAGCACTAAGCACCTACATGAGGGTAACCAAAGTGAGCCCTGGACTGCCACTGACTGTAACAGGAGCTGAAGGATGTGGCTCACATGCAGAAATATTCAAGGAGGTGGTTTGATCTCAGACCCAATCCCACCCAAGCAGTAGCAGTCTGGCAAACACATTACCATGCTCCATCTACAACAACGCGTTATTGCCATTCATTTTGACTGTACACAGTACAAATCAAGTCCTTATGACATAAAGCACAGAAACCCTGCAAAGGTTTCCTTGTCCTGCAAACAGGAACTCACAGGGACTCATTTCTACTAAACTGATTTAAGCCTTCAGGGTTGGGGATTCCCCGAACAGCAAATGGGGAATTTAGATTTAAGGAGTGTGTACACCTTGCTTGACAAGCCCAGCACATGCTGACTTGGAAAACAGAGCTGGAAACAACTGAGATGAACCTTGCAGAAATAGCAATATCACTTAGGAAGGGAGAAGGGTTATGGATGGGATCGAAACTTTCCACCTATCGAAGATGTGTTCATAAAATGGGTGTGGAGGACACATTACTTAGCACTGTCTCACCCGTCCTCAGGAAGACACATAAAAGCAACAAGTGAAATAACCACAGGTTTGCCAGCAGAAAAGACCTTTGGTGCTGAGACATGGTTGAATGGGACTGAAAACCTGGAGGAAAGCAGAGTAAAGTTTATCTCCAGGCAACCAGGATGCAACAGTTCGCCGCTCCTGTGGGCTTCCAGATGGACACATATTTTCATGGTGGATATTTGACAATATAAACTGAACTTAGGAAGTGGTCAAGCCTGGAAGTGAGGCAGTGTACTGCTGTCTTCTACCTGCATCCTCCTTCCTCCTGGTCTCTGAAGCTAGTACTCAGTAAAGTACTATGCAAGCAACAGAAAAGAGTCTAGCTGATTGCCTGCCATGGCTAGCAAGGACCAAAAATGTCAAAAAAAATAACCCCTAGGCCTTCTCCGCTCAGGTGTGCTTGAGGAAGATGGCAAGTTTGGGTCAGCACCCACCATCCTCATCTAAAACAGCACTAGGGAATGATGAGGGAAGAAGCCTCTGAGGTATTTTGGCATGTCTGCTGTCTTCCTCATTGCTGTAGCACGTCCAGCTGGGCTTTGCCACAAAGTCAGAATCAGCACTGTTGATTTTTGCTTTGTTATACAAAAGTATTTTGCATCCTGCTATTGATGGTTGCTCCAAGATAAATCCATCCCCCTGCAAAGTTTTGTACTCAACAAGTTTTAAAATATTGATGTAGATTGGAAAACCAGTCACAAAGTTGATGTTTTTAGGCAGGACTTTGTTTTAAATAAATAAACATACATGCAAATAAATAAAGCCTTCCCATACTAGCTTAATATAAAAAAGCTATTTTGGGTAGCATATAACATGCTCAAAACTAAATGGAAACGTAAAGAATGCACATCGCACAGAGTGGATAATACAGCAATGAGGTGCGTCCTGGCAAAAATAGTCCTACTACACCATGAAAAAGTTATTCACGTTGACAAGCCATGAAGTGTTTGCATAAGGAGAAAGGGAACAAAGTAGGAATGCTTTAATGCTCTGCCTTGTTGGAGCTGCTTTTCCCTTCAGTCTTGTATAACTGTGACAGTTGTGTAAAGGCAAAAAACAAAAGAAAGGAAAAGCACTGGTAACGCTGGCATGAGAAGACATTTATTTCTGCTGCAGTCAACAGCTCCACAGCAGCTCTGTGCTCTCTTGCACAAAAGGAACAGGCTTGTTGTGCTCTGCGTGGTCACCCTGAGTCAGGCCATGGCAAAAGCCTGACCTCCTCTTGAAGACCCACACGAATAGCTCTTTCTTCAAAGTCTGCTAGGCTGTGCCAATGCAACCTATGCAACTGTTATTTGAATGCCATACATTGACTCACAGACCGGAGCCCTGACCACAGACCACCCCATCAAGACAGGCCCTTAAGCTAGAGGGAAACCTCCTACGGGTTCACACAAGTTCTGCATTTCCTTCTCAATCCAAATATTAGCAGTGATTTCGTATACTGATAAACATAGAGCTGGATTCAGATGATAGTGCTCAAAAATGTTATACATGCCCTTCTCTGGACAGCACTAATGACCCCTGGTACCAGGTTATCCCTGTGACCACAGTGGCCAGGACATCTCTCTGACCCTTCCGAGCGTTGTTTGCTGGTGCAGGAGGTGGCTTACCTACTTCCATGGCTCAAGCCCTGGAGGTGCACCCACATCTAGAGTACTGGCTGCCCGTTTCATGGAGGCATGTCTGGTTATAAGGAAAAGCCTTTTCCCCGTAAGGACAATGAAGCAGTGGAACAGGTTGCCTGCAGACCTCATGCAGTCTCCATCTTTGGAGGATTTCAAGACCCAACTGGATAAAGCCCTAGGCAATCTAGTCCGACCTCAAGAGGCTCCCTCCAATCTAAATTATCCTATTAACCCTCTGCAAAGAAGTGCGTCAGGTATTGAATTAGGACAGGCACTAAATCTCCATAAATGTATGAGTTCTGAAATCTATCTACCATGTTGGAGAACACACATGGTTCTGTAGCTTTCTCAAGCAAGCAATCCCCACTCCTTTGAGCAGCACTTAGCCCCATTAGAGGAGCAAATCTCAGCCAAGAGTGCAGAGGCTTAATGGCTCGATAGAAGAGTGACAGAACTGACAAGGCACAGATCAGCTCATCCTCTCCTACGGGACCTGACGGTTGGATGTATTAAGGAAAACTATCCCTCATTTTCATTAAAAATCTTACTACTTTGTATTATGTTTTGAGGAGAATAATTCACTGCAGTACATGAAAAGCTCTTCTCTCCTTATCTCCCTCTGTGTCTTCCCTAGGGAATAAAAAGCTATTACAGTGACACCTTGAGAGAGGTGGCCCTTCAGGATACACTTGTGGGCATGATGCTGTGCTCTGTGGATATGGCCAAATTTGTTTCTTGTCAAAGCTTATTGTTAGTAACTTCACTAACGTCACAATCTGGACAAGTCCATACTATTACACATGGTGTAGTTCGGGTGGGAGCAAGGATTTTGACTTTTGAAGGGTTCTGGTTCATTTCCTACCACCTCTGCCCAAATTTCAGCCTTTATGTAACTGGGAGGTGTCCAGGATCATGTTATCTGGGGTCACAAATGTCAGAGATTAAATTTTTTGGCCCTGACTAAGTGGGTGACTACATAGTGGGAGAGCACGTTGCAGGTCTCAAAGCTGCTTGTGATCAAAAACCCAACAGATACTCACAGGATGTATGCGATGACCCCAATGGACCAGCAATCCACGGCTTTGCTGTAGGGTTTCTGGGCCAGCACTTCAGGAGCTGAAAACAAAAAGCCAAACAAGCATGTGTTACAAGATCAAACATTTGAATGTGGTCAAGAGGTGGGACCCTGAAGCTTGAAGTTCCTGGAGACCTCGTGTTGCCCTTCACATACAGCCCTTGCATTTGCAAATATCCTGACGTTTTCAAAGCTCATATTCTCACAAAGAGGGACGACTCCTAATGTGGAGCAAATTCCCCATTTTCTGACTCCAAGGACAGAAAACAAAACCAAGCACAGAAAAACGCATGAGGCAGAGGGCCATCACCTCCCTGTTTGAGGAACTTTAGGAGTCTTGGAGGAAAACAAGGCCAAGCTTTGCGCCACTGCTGAGATGCTCGTTCATCCTGACAGCTTTGCATGTCCACCGCATCGCATTGCCAAACTGGGGACTTCAAGAGGCAGCTCAGAAAGTGCAGCGTGTCAGGGACGTGATAGGCCACATCTGCAGGGGAGGAAGGAGACCTGCTGCCAGCACACCTGGCAACAGCTGCCTTCCAAAGCCTGCTGGATGTCACTCAGAGTTTGTGTTTGTCCTTCTGCCTCTGGGAGCACAGACAGCTCCGATGGAGAAACAAAAAGTAGCAGGAATTGGACACATGCACAAAGGAACTGAGCCTTCTGCCTCTATAGCTTTCAGCCACTGTAGTCTGGATTTTTCTAGAAGTGACAGCCTGGGCATTTATTGAAACTTTTTGTGAGTCTGCTTTCCTGTCTTACACCAGTGAGAGTTAAAAAGGTGCATTTTTTTGTTTGGGAGCCTGGTGTATTATGTTTTCCCTGTGGGGACCTTTCAGTGCAGATGCTTAAACCTAAATTTTAAAAGCCTGTGACTCTAATCTTTTTCATGTAAAGAAGCTTTGGGATTTTTCAAAGCGAAATGTC